ATAAAAGTGTCAGTGTTCTTTATTAAAATTAACATAAAGTACTTTTTAAACTAGTTTAAACATGTTTTTTCTCTAGTCCAAGAGTATCACTAATTTGAGAGGCATATGGCATTATAATTAAGTAGTAAATTTAAATACACATATATGTGACCAATTAAAAATAAAAAAGAAAATGAGAAAAACTCAAGAGATCATCTCGCAGAAACGTTAAGCGACCGTATCCCCCCGGAAAACAACTACTTCTTCAGCTAATGCTTCACCAGGCTTTGAGTAATGAATTTTTTTTAATAATTACCAGTCTGGTTGTTATTGTTCTATGAACTGGGTACCACAGCGTGCAATTTTGCTTACTAAATCTAGATACCAACATCTTGGTATGCGAGTAGATATCACGCATCTACAACTTATATTAGAGATATGACGTGAGAATGTCTTTCTTACCGATGAGTCCTAATAAGGACAAAACCGGTCCAAAAGATGAGAATTTTTTGAGAACATTTTGTTGTTTTTTTGAAAATTATGCGTCTTAATTTCACGAAAACAAAATTCTCCTTAAAATACCACAAGACGTTAGATTTTGCAGAGTAAAATTTGCATAATTTGTAAGAAAACCACAAAGTGTTTTAAAAAAATTCTTACCTCGCGTGGTGTTTAACAATATAAACTCAACTTTCATAAGCAACTTTTGTTTTGTTTCCATAAGATGAAGTCGTTTCTGTATTTAAAATGTATATTTAATTAACCAAAACGATTTATGTTTATTTTTATCACCTTTTTGACAAACTTCGTATTAACATTTCGCATAAATCATTGATGCGTTTCTCTGAAAATTAATTAGCTTCTTAAATCCAATCGGGTATTTGTGTTTTTCTCATTTGCCTTTTTTATTTTTAAAATTTTTTAGTACGAAACAATGTTAATTGATATTCTTTTGGTTCTATGGGAATCTGAACTGCCTGAGAAATCACTATATTTTAAAACTTTTCCTTTTTCCTGGGCGTACCCATTACATCGAAAAATTTCAATTAAATTATTCTCTCTTCTGAGCTGTACTAATTGAATTTAAGCTTTCATGTCAATCTGTTCAAAATATTAATAAGTAATGTTACATCGTATTTCACTGCCTTTTGTGATTTTTATATAAGTCCAAGCAAGAGTTATAAAGAAGTTACTGCTGAAGCTTTTAAAGTTTCAGAAAAATCGATACAAAGACTTAAAATTTCTTCTTCACTGACAAAAAGTAGAAACCCATCTAAAAGAATGCTGCACCCTTTATTTTATAAGTATTACATTCAATTATCCATAAAATGCTTAGTTTAGTTTTTAATTTTTATGTTATTATTTGTCTTTTCTAGATACCGTATTTTTTATTTTTTATTAGTGACGAAACAGCAACACATTTTTATATTTAAAGAGAGAAGAAAAGAAAAATATATAATTTCTTTTGTATATCACATTGTTTAAAATTATCGCAGCTCTCAATAGTTTTGTCAATTATTATCTGCTGTAAGAAATATACTCGTATACAATATATAGGCGGATGAAAACTGGACTATCGATGAAGGAAGGAGAGTCATATTCTCTTATAAAACAAGAATAATATCTGTGAAGAATTTAGAAAAACTGATACGATTTGGATTGCGTGCAAATTCGAATAAGTGCAAATTATAGTGTCATGTTGACTACGTTCATGCATTGTACGGTGGCAGTGTGTTCTGTCACGGAGATATGTCATTTAAAGACGCTATAAATTAACCCTTGTTACTTCACGTGCTTTGCGTGTGATATTCTATAAAATGTGATGCAAAACATCACGAGTGCTATGAAAAACGAAGGTGGGAAATTGAAGAACAAATTACCCAACAAACATTTTGTGTAGAGGAATAAAAGGCCCAATAACTTTTACCCTCCAATTGTAATGATGGGCATTTAACTTTTTTAATTAAAAGGCCTGTATATATAGGTCACTACGGCCTACAGTGGGATCGAAGTCACTTAGCCATCAAATCCAGTTAATAAGCCTCAATTTTCCCTTTAATGTCTAGAAATGAGCATATTGGCAATTAATGACCAATTGATGAGAATTTAATGAAAAATTGCATATTATGTCATATTAATACTGACTACTGAATAAAGAACATGTGACAGGCGCATGATCAGACAGGCAATTCGATAGTGCCTTTTTGATCACTAGTACCGTTTGAACTATAAATTATATACTAAAACCAAAGACATTGCAATATAGAATATTGTAGACATTTTATTTAGTTCAACTATATAATATGTTGAATTATATTCAACATTTCTCAGTATTGCACCAAGCTTTCATTCTCAATTCTTTTATTACTCCTGAAGACGTCTCTTCCGCACTGCTTTGGCCGATAAGAACGGTCTCCCAACTAATAACTACGTCACAGGCGTCAGTCACTTCTTGTCCACTTCTCATTGGTCATCCATGCGAGCAGCCACTTTCATTGGTTAGAGACACAGGCGTTATGCGCTTTCTAATTGGTCAACTGCAAGCGTCACTCTCAAGCTAGCTTAGCAACTTTTCTCTCGGCCAGCATTGCCAATGTGTGAGCAATTGCTCACATTTGTGAGCATTTAAAGAAATGTGGAGTAAATATGAAGCAGTGGGAGATTGTGAGCATTTTGTGAGCAAATATTGACTCTCTTGATAACTGACACGCATAGAACGGGACCGTGCAACCGAACTTTTTTCAAATTTGGCCTTGTTCTGATGAAAGTTCATTATTATTGTCCCTGGTTGTGAGCACAGTTGGTTTTGATTGTATGTCTCAAAAAAGGCCATTAAGAAAAATTTTGTTCTGATGCCACGCTATCTATCATCTATTTAAAAAACAAAACTTTATTTGTATGCATGCTAAATTTGAGTAAGAGTTTTTAATTAAAAAAACAGACGGATTAGGTGTGTGAGGATTTATTAAGCATTTAAAAGTTTTTGTGAATAAAATGTTAGAATATGTGAGCATATTTGGGAAAATTAATAAACAATCTAGTGATTATTCATTGGCAACACTGCTCCCGGCAGAGCTTCAGTACCTTTCAAACACAACACATCCTTTAACGGTGCAAAAGAAGGCAACGATTCGGCGGCCATCATGATATAATTTTTAAAACCATTAGAATGATTTTAACAAATTTCCTATGAAAAGTCTGTACATAGTGTAAAAAGTATGTGGTGTGTAAGTGCACCACGTAATAAAATTAACAACGTTTCAGTAGTGTTTTAAAATAAAGTGTGTAATTAGAAGGTGATGTTTTCATCCAAGCACTAATCCTTCCATCCCTACGGATCGCACAGGTATTTTCAACATTATTTAATACAGTTCACAATTTTTCAAGGTCCAAATGTCGGTCCTAGTTTGTTTATTGGAGCGGAAACACGGACAGACGCCTGTTTTTTGGTCAATTTGCGACAATAATAAAAAAAATATTCTACAAAAGTATATTCATAAAATATTTTAAATTAAGGATATGTAAAAGTAAGAAATTACAACGAATACTGAACAGTGAATACCAGCAATTCGAGAGTGGCCATGGTACATGTCTACTCATTGAATGTGTAGCAAGCGATCATCGGTGTCTCCATCTATGAACGAGGAATGGAGGGGGGGGGGTTGGGTCTGCGGCAGTTAAAATTTTTTGACTTTTATCATGCTTTTACCCAATACAGTTACTTACCCTTCATAAGGCCATCATCAACCAACATAATGCTGGACCATTATCGAAAGGTCAAAAGTAGGCTTTTATCTTTTAATCGTTACATTCTTTTTTCCTTCAATTACAGCAAAATACTAGCTGACCAGTAATTCATTGTTTGTTGGGTATCAAAAAAATAATATACCTATGCGGGGAAACATGGCTAAATTCTATTTTGCTCATCTCAAAAAGGTATTCGTTGGAAATTCCAGGCTTAGTGGACAAACTATCAAATAAAGATATAAATATTTTTTCTAATTTGAATATATAAAAGAGAAATTTTTCGCTGTGAGATTTTAAATTGCCAAACACCTTTTCTTCTGAGTCGTATGCTTTAAAATGCGTTAACAAGTTAGAATTGTTAAGTAAATTTAATTTTTCTGAGAAATTTACGCAAATTTCGCAAGAGTGGATATGTAATGATTTTTTGATTAAAAAGCCACATACATAGTTAAATGCATTTTGAGTGGTCACATTTAGTTCCCTGCAGTCACATTCAGAAATCATTATTGCCCCAACTGATTGTTTTGAAATATATTTAATTTTCATTAATCGGAGAACGAATCCCGGGATTCCTTTCCTGTGTGTGCCCCACTGCCGCTAGTGCCCACGAGCCGCCACTACTGTTGATAGGCCACAAAAATATTTATTATTCTGCATTACTTTCTCATCTATTTAATTTAGAAGTATTGTGTCTGAATATAAATTGACCATATTTATTCCAAGTTTTGGAATATGTAATTCTTCAATTGTACTTTCAAAATGTTCATATGAAATATGTGACTGTAAATAATTGAAGTTACTTAGTGAAAACAAATAATTTTAATTTAAAAAATTGAACCACTTTTCCAAATAACATATAGCTTTGTCAATAAATAAATTTAAGTTACTACAAATCTAGTCTTTTAAGTCAAGTGAAGATTCTTCAACGTCTTATAAATTTCGTAGTTTCGTATCTAAATAACCTTTCTTTATTAATTATTTTTTGAGAGTACTCATTACGTTGTAAACAATAGTTATACAGTTGCCATCTAGGTATTTGACAGTTTTGTTAAACAAATTGAAAATGTGACTGCAAAAATGCATATAAATCTCAATCAAATCAAAATTCACATCCCTGTTCAATAATAGTAAATTCTACAAAATAACAGGGCAATCTTCTCCTATAAACTCAAAAAAGTTTTTGATTGGTTTCCAGTTTAATAGTACAGTGTCTATGCAAGGTAAGAAACTCGACCATTTGGTTCGTACATGGAATTTGAGCTCGTGCAAATTACCATCAATACGTTTAACGGATGTTTTAAGATCTTCCCTTCTAACAGCTGATTGTGAAAATTGGCCACACATTTTTAGGATTACATTTTCGATATCATAAGATAAGAAGTTCATGGCAATTTCCTTTAATTAAATCGGGAACCAACTCTTACATATTAGTAAACAGAGTGGTTAACTCCAAAATTAGAATTTGTGTTGTCTGCACTTAGTCCTGCTATTTTATTAAAAGATAATTGATGCAGTATCCCAGTATTATCAACTCCTGTATAGCTTGAAACATGCCATTAGCTGACTCATCACTGTTCTCATAAACATCAGTAACAGAAACAAACCAGTAACAGGATTACGTAAATAGAGTATTTTAGCGTACTTTATTGGTGTCGTAGATTATAAAGTAGGTTCACCTACATAAAAAAAGAGGACAATACTCTATTTTAGAGTGGCAACCCTAAATACAACGCCATAGAGTTAATTTGATATGTGGGATTTTTTAAAATATGTTTTACACCGAATGATCACTTAACAACTTTAAAAAATCCATAGAAAAAATAAAACAATTGCAGATGACTTTTGTTTGGAAGATTAAAAAACAAAATATTAAGAACGACTTTTAACCAATATTAAAACGATTGAAATAAGGAAACACGTGCAAATAGTAACTAAATAATGATATACAGGGTATTTAGTCGCTAGCTCTAATACATAGGTGTATAAAAATTTTAAATGTATGAGTACAGGGTCGAACCAATGCAATGCTGAATTTGAGATTAAATTAAGAAAATTATTTACCATTATTAGATAATTTGTGGCGTAAATAATGTTAAGTAAAATAACTCTAGCGCGTGTATAAATATAAATTATAGTTACAGTTGCATGCTAAATTTCCTCAATTTATATTCTTAGTAAGATTTATATGGATGATAACCACAAGTACACGGAAAAAACCGTATCTTACCTGTAAATGAACTGTTAATGTCTCGTAAAGAAATATTATTTTAATTAATTAATAATTATATCTGACTTAAAATAATTACGTAAACACTCCTTTACGTAATTTTATTTTGAATATTTGTTGGTTGTATTGATTGAAGATCAAAAAATGTCTATAAAAGATTGTTGTCCTTGTGCTTAAAACCTGCTAACAGAATTAGCACTCTAGATTTAAAATTTTTGCTTTCGTATAAGTATACACAAAAAGACATACAATTAGCCACTGCAACATTCAACTTTCTGTAAATAAATAGCGAAGATTATTTATCGAGTGTAATTATAAATCTGGTATGCTCTTGGTTCTTCATTTATATTTACTTTCTATTTATTGCTTCAGATCTACATTGCAAAATAACCGAAGAACATAAAAAACAGTGCCACAGGCCTTGCATAATATATAATTACTATTTTAGAGAACTATTAAACAGTAAATGAGTTTTACTTATACCTCACATTGGCAAGATAAATTGAAAATAGATCATTAACCTTACCACCTACCGGTTCGATGCAATTTCGGTAATTACAAAATTTGTTCTAAAAAAAATGGGAAAGATATAAATAATTATAACAGGTTAAACTAGTAAAGTATTATTATTGTCTAGAAGAAATAAAACTTTTGAATTATCAATTATCATAGCTGAGAAGGAAATAGTTCTTCATTTTTTTGTATATGGGTAAAAGTTGTTTCCATTGTCTACAAAAGTGGCAAAAATTGTTCAGGGTACGAATAAAAATCCGCTAGGTTCGCTATTTTATTTACTGCAAAAACTGACGTTTGATTTTTAACCTGTCAGAAGTGCAATCGTGCAAATCACATTGCTTTATTATCAAGTAAGAAGTACAAATGGAACCTAATTCAATAGAACCATTTTTCACGATGATTTCTTCGCGACTTTTCAAAAAATGATCGATAATAATCGTACCACTTATTATATTACCCTTTTCACATTCATTGCAATCATATTTTTCTCTATTTTCTTGGCAATTGTCATCCCTAGGATTAACTAAATTCTTAGATATAAATAATAGGTACAGCTAAATAAAATTCTGTGAATGTTTCCTAAAAACATTTCAACAGTAATTTAATTAGAGTTTGGAGAATATTTACTTACGCGCACATCACTGGTTTAGTAGTTTTTGTAAACAATCACTTAAATATAATATTAGAACCCATCATCAACAATAAACTTAATTTGTTGACCATTCTATTTTCAACCTTTCTTTTCGATAGTCTGTACCAGCAAGGAAAGTAAAGGAATATTGTTTTTCCACCTCGACTTTTCAACAGACTTTTACGTTTTACGATTCCCTGAACCCATTTTGGCCATTTTAATAATATATGTCTGTATGTCTATGTGTCTGTATCCACATCCCCAACTAGCCATTCATAAAAGTGTATTTGTTGTGAAGTTCTCATCATCATCTATTGTATAGTCCAGGAGACAGTGACAATTTTCGGTATTTATTTTCCCAGTCAGCAAGCACGAATAGAGAATTGTAGGATTAGCAATTCTAAGCAAAATTCATATATATTTAGAGGGGGGATCCGATGGGCTGAGGCCGAAAATGCGTCAAAACATACGAGAACACGGCCCTTCTTTTCCATTGATAAAAATAGTTTTAGTAGTAAGAGATGTACTGAAGTTAAGTAAAAAAATAGTCTGATTAATCTGTATGGATAATATATTTGGCAAGTGCATAAAATACACTTTCAAACGAGTTATGTACACAATTATTTCTACGACCACAATTATTTAAAGAATGTTCCAGGTTTTTTGTATATTAAAGTGTACGCATAGGACACTTAAATAAAATCTTATATCACAATGTTTCACCTAACCAGTTGGTTTATTTATAGAAATTAAACATAATAATTGAAGATATTACAAAAGAAAATAGGGAAATAAATTACATTTCCTTTTACACTTTTATATACTAATTGTTTTATTTAGAATTCACTAATCACTTATTACTATACATTAATTATAATTATTGTTAGTTTCGTTATGTCAAATCATTTATACTAGAGGTGTGAGGAAAATACAGTGAACTGTGGAACGCCAATATCGTTGGATGCGCGTGGTAGAAATGGTCCTTTAATACTGCTAAAAACATAGCTAAATTTTCATGGAAACACTGTACTTTTGACATTTGCGATACTCCGACGCATATGCATTATTGATGTAATCTCATGATTTTACAGTAATAGTTTTTGCAATTTTAGTGTGATTTTTAGGTTATTATGGTTATTCATTTTATTTGGTTCTGATCTTTTGCGCTTTTAGAGTATTTGTCTTTTATATAGTTTTTAATTTGAATTTTAATATTGTGGTCTATTTATATTTGATTGCTGCTTTTCGACTAGTGCTTTATTCTTTTTGTGTTAAAATAAGCTTTATAACCATTAAGCACATGCTTCTAGTTGATATCTACCTAATCGTCATCGGGTGCTTGCAACAATGGGAAAAAGTGTATAGTTTTTTTGGTGTAAAGTTAGACGCCTTCATTTTTCAGGTAAGTTATTTGTAGTTATTTTTTACTTAAAAGGATAGCAATACGTCCTAGTTCGGGGTGTGACTTTTGGGTTTTAGCTATCTGAGCCAAATTGTCGGCTAAGTGTCCTCTTTTAGGGCACCCAGAACCGAAAACTATATAGGTATATAATATGTTTTTTTTTAATTATTTTTTAATATGTATGCAGCTTGGATGAGGGCTTTAGGAAGAGATCCTAAGACTGAACACTGACTGCTATAAATGCCGTTTTTAGAGCACATTTCATAGTAAGTGATTTCATTCTAGCAGCAATGAGAAAACGTTTAAAAAACATGCTGTACCAGCTATTACTTTAAGACCTCGTCTCTTTAAGTTATTATTACTTCATTCTAATGCATATATTAAAATGGTTTTTAACTTATGTCCTTATGATTAAAAGATGTAGGTATTTTAGTTATGTTATAATAGAAATATATAATACTTTGTATTGACTGACCTACTGGCCACTGGTCATTCCACTTTTACTCCCTTTTTTCATAAATTATCAAATTATTTAAAAACAAATACATACCTAGCTATTTTCTGTAAATTACATTAAACTTTTAGTATTAATACTTTACCAATAAAACTTCAGTTAATTTATCTTATATATATACACAACAGAAGAGTTAATTGGATTTTCTCCTTGTTGAGTTTCAAAAATAGTAATTTAACATGATTTAAAAACAAATACATGAAATGGGCAAAATAGGCCTGCAAAGGCACTTTGTAAACAATCTCACTTGTATCGATGTGACGTAATGCGCGAATTCAATCTGGCTTACTTTTGTTAATAGATTGGCGTTCCATTTTAAATATACAGTTCACCGGGAATAGATTATTTAAATATACACGGACCGGGAAAATAAGTACGAAACAATTCACTGGCTCCTGGACTAGTACTGTATCGAAGGAATTTTTATGAATGAAACAATATACGACCCTCCACAATTGCGGTCTACTCTACTTCCGCTGTTGTCAGACATTATTTTTTTTTGACAATTTAAAGATTTAACAGTAATTCAAGCAAACGCAATAACATTACTACAGTTAAAAACATCGCAAACTTGGCATCAATATTTTAATTTTATCCAAATATTGCATTTCTGTCGAGGATCATCCGCGTTGACTTCAGAAATTGTGTAATCTGTATTGGTTATATATATATCTATAGTAAAAAGCACGTAAATTTGGCATCAATGTTCAATCCAATTATTTAGTTTCTACCGCGGACACCACCGTTCATTCTTCAAAAATTTTGTAAATAATCCTATCTGTCTTGGTTATATATCTATGTCTGTATCCACGAAAAATCAAAATCGGATAAAGATAAAAATACAAAATTTTAAACTTAAGCTTTAATCGGAGCATTTTAAAGGCGACCTTTTCTTTGGTCAGATAAGTCAGATTTTATATATTCATAGCCGTATTGTATGTCCGTAAAGTATGGAACAAATTCATTTTTAGCTAAACAGACCATTTTAAGAAATAATCCTGAAACACGTCGATTTTTGATTTTAATTAAAGGAGTAAATGTTTCCGTGTATATT